TACTGCAACTCATGTTTTTCCTGCTTCGTTATGCTTAATCACCATGATCAGGTCACACGGTTCTATGAGGAGATCGAGGTCACTCCTAAGAATGGATTGGTCCACTGCACCAGCCACAGCTTAAGAATGTTCGTGAGCTACATCAATCGGCGACATGACGGTTCTGAGAGAAAGGTCCCTTTGCTCATGCTAGTTTGTGGGCTTGGTTTTGCAAATTCAAACGATGTCTACTTTGCTTAAGCATCATTTGAGGATCACCGCCTCAAGGCGATCTTCGACGAGGTCGCCAAGAGCTGGCCGCCGAAGCCCCGCAGCCGCAGGTCCTTGGCTGCGGTTGTGGCCGAAGATGGAGAAGATGTTGAGTGTGAGGAGGAGGAGGCAGAGGAGGAAGAGGAATTACAGCTCACCGAGGATGATGATGAGGATGTTTGCCAGGCAGCTGAGGTTGATGATTACTTGGCCCAGTCCCTCGGCCTTGTGCCGGGATCCCCGCAACCGCCTTCGGCCTATGTGGGCACAGTGGCTTATGAGCTGAGTGATGAAGGACAGCCGGTGCCATACGCACCAGCTTTGCCTGCTGTCGATGAAAGCCCAGATCTCGTGAAACAGTTGGCTGAGTTGGAGCATCTTGTTTCAACTCAAGGGCAATCGTTCGAATATATCAATACTGAAGGCAATAGTGCTTTATCTTAAGTCTGAAGCTGAGCAGCCGAGGCAGCAAATTGCTCATCGACGAGCAGCTCTGTGTGGGCGCCAGAAAATCGAGCGATGGCACAGTGCCTCAGTTCCATCATCATAATTCTTCCAGCCTCCAAAATCGACGACTCTCGAAGCCCTTTAATCTTTCAAGCCCCACACCCTGAAGCCTTGAAGCCCCAAAGCCTGGAAACCTTAAGCCCCGAAGCCCTCCAAATATTGCCCGCCATGAAGCTTAAACCCTCTAGCCCAAACCCAAACATTACCCGCCATGAAGCTTAAACCCTAACCCTCAAGCCCCAAGCCCAAACATTATCCGCCATGAGGCTTAAACCCTCAAGCCCCGAAGCCCTCCAAACATTATCCGCCATGAAGTTTAAACCCTCAAGCCCCGAAGCCCTCCAAACATTATCCGCCATGAAGCTTAAACCCTCAAGCCCCGAAGCCCTCCAAACATTTTCCGCTAGGAAGCTTAAACCCTCAAGCCCCGAAGCCCTCCAAACATTATCCGCCATGAAGCTTAAACCCTCAAGCCCCAAAGCCCTCCAAACATTATCCGCCATGAAGCTTAAACCCTGAAGCCCCGAAGCCCAAACATTATCCGCCATGAAGCTTAAACCTTCTCAAGCCCCGAAGCCCAAACATTATCCGCCATGCAGCTTAAACCCTGAAGCCCCCAGCCCAAATATTCTCCCAGGTCTGCAGCACATGGACAGCCAACGGACCATCGCTTGGCCAGAAGGTGGGGCTCTGCAGGATCAGGATGCCTTCGAGGAGCCTCCGCCTTCCTCGGCGGCTGCTGGTGCATATGTTCGGCAGGGTGCTTCGAGTCATCTCTCCCTTGGGGCCCTTTCTTCGAAAAATGCGGCTGCAGGCAATGTGCCTGTGGCCACACCGGCAAGGGCGGCTTTAGAGCTCCCAGCAGTTGCCGCTGGAGTTTCGGAGGATCTAGCAGACCCAACAGCTGAAGCAGTTGCCCCTGAAGTTTCGGAGGATCTAGCAGATCCAACAGCTGAAGCAGTTGCCCCTGAAGTTTCGGAGGATGTAGCAGACCCGACAGCTCAAGCAGTTGCCCCTGATGTTTCGGAGGATCTAGCAGACCCGACAGATCACGCAGTTGCCCCTGGAGTTTCGCAGGATCTAGCAGACCCGACACAAGCAGTTGCCCCTCGAGTTTCGGACCAAACAAAGGCAGCAGTTGCCTCTGGAGTTCTGCAGGATCTAGCAGAGCAAGCAGTTGCCCCGGAAGTTTCGAAGGATCTAGCAGACCCAGCAGTTGCCCCTGCCCCAGCAAGTCCACGCCCAGAGTCTGTGTCACTGGAGATCGCGAGTGTCTCCGAAGCAGCATCTCCTGATCTGTTGGCACTCAAGGTGGGGCACGTCCAAGTTTGGGCTTGAGGCTTCAGGTTTGCATCGTACTAAGGCCATTGCTGGACCTCCTACAATCCCAGAACCCGAAACCACAGAATCCTACAATACGCTTTGCATATTACTAAAACCTAAACCCGGACCTTCTAATCCCAAAAGCCCCCCAAATCCTAATGCTTTCATCCTACTATATACATCCCATAGGTGTAGCTCTAATCCCGAAACCCGAAACCACCAAACCCTAAACTCCTGGAGGCTTTGGGTTGCAAGCTTCAAGCAGTCGAAGTCGCAGACTAGTGATAGTTCGGTTGATCGGGCCCGGCACTTTCGGGTAGGAATTCGCGGTTCATTGAGGGTTTAGGCTTAAGGGTCTAGGGTAAGGGTCTAGGGTTTAGGGTTTAGGGTTTAGGGTTATATTATATCGAGGAATGTAGGAGGCTTTCCTTGTATGATCCCAGTTATATAGTATGCCAAGAACTAAACTAAAAGGCTTAAGCACCCTTTAGAAACCCAACTTCACTTTCCCGAGCAACTCCAAAGCCAAATCTTCCACGCAGAGACTCCTTAGCTTCTGGGTTGCGATAACGATTGATGAAGGCTTGCTTTTATGGGATCGCATTATCTTGAAACCTTTGAGGTTCTGTTCAACTGCTAGGATGAGCTCTTCTCTGTATGGGTCCTAACAGGTTTCCCTAAAAGGGTTTCGTAGCTTGAGTACTATTGACACTGCTCCAACTTGTGGCTCTGCCAGTCCTTGTAGCAGCAGTAGTACTAGTAGTAGTAGCAGAAGAAGAAGTAGTAGTAGTAGTAGTAGCAGAAGAAGTAGTAGTAGTAGTAGTAGTAGTAGTAGCAGTAGCAGTAGCAGTAGCCCTAAACCCTAAACCCTAAACCCTAAACCCTAAACCCTAAACCCTAAACCCTAAACCCAAGCCCGCAATAAAATGTTTAAGGCCAGACGCCAACAGGTATATTAAAACTGTGACCAAAGCTTTTGTCGCCAGGTTCAGACGAGACGGGCAGAGCAGATGCGACACAGGGCGGAGCAAAGGCAGGCACCCGCTGAGGAGGACGAGGTCTGCGACGACGACGACGAGCCGGTCCGGAAGCGGCCAGCAGCCAAGTCGGCAAAGACTGGTGGCAAGAAGGGCTGGCCGAAGGGGAAGGCGAAAGCCAAAGGCAAGCCGAAGCCTACCAAGGAGGAGCAGAACGCCGAGCCGAAGCTGAAGCGAGCCAAGAAGGACGAGCAGGGTTCGGACGAGCCGAAGCCGAAGCGAGCCAAGAAGGGCGACCAGGGTTCCGACGAAGAGCCGAAGAAGCGAGCCAAGGAGGGCGACCAGGGTTCCGAGCCGAAGGGTTCCGACGACGAGCCGAAGGCCAAGCCAAGCAAGAAGGGCAAGCAGGGTTCCGAGCCGACGGGTTCCGAGGAGCCGAAGCCGAAGCCGAGCAAGAAGGCCAAGCAGGGTTCCGACGAGCCGAAGCCGAAGCCGAGCAAGAAGGCCAAGCAGGGTTCCGACGAGCCGAAGCCGAAGGCCAAGGCAACCAAGAAGGGCAAGCAGGGTTCCGACGAGCCGGGGCCAATGAAAGAGACGTTCGCTGGCAGGCGGGAGCCCCAGGAGGAAGGGGCTCCCAAGTGCCTCTTCACCTCCATACGGGACGCCTTCTACGAAATCATTCGGCCACAGTTCCGTTACCCGTCTAAGCTCGAGGATTGCCAGCCGAAATAAAGCACTGAACCCAAAAGCCCTAAACCCCTGAAGCCCTAAAATCCAAATGCTGCTTAATTCGACAAACCCGAAAACCGCGAATCTTGAATGGTTCTAAAGCTTACCCAAGCCTTCCTAAAGCCTTGATAATACTTAAAGCCCAAAACCCTCCTAAACCCTCCTTTCTTCAAAGCCTGAAACCCTAGGCCTTTCCAAACCCTAACTCCCTTAAGCCCTAAACCCTAAGCCCGCTTAAGCCGAAACCCATGGGATACTTATTAGTTCTGCTTGCAGGATCCCTTCTGGAAGCATTGCCGTCCCAAGCTGCTCGAGCTGGAAGAGGACTCTTACAAGTCTAAAGGACTGGAGTTTGCTTCCCAGTGGTTGGAGATGCAGAAAGCTTCTGGTGTTCTGAAGAACTGAAGCCTCCCGTCTAGAATAATAGACTCAACTATAGTTACAGCCTCCGAGATTCAATCAACTTTGGCACTTCATCCGAGGCTCCGTGGTGTGATCCGATGGCCAGCTACATGAGTGATCCTGAGTCATAGAATAGACTTGGGNNATTGCGGTTCCAGTGCAGCTCTCTGGGATCAACTAGGATCCCCCGACGGGTGTCTGCTTTCCAGGGGCGAGTGTGGGCTTATCTTAGTTTTGAGGAGGGACTAGCTGCACGCAACAGTTGTGCCTGCCGGGTCGCCAAACACTGCCCTTTAGAGGAAGCATGAGTCAGGACGAGAGATGCATGTGTTCGTGAGAGCAACAAAAGTTGAGCTACTCTTCATGACCAGCGACTGCATTGATTGACTGATGCTGGCCAGTGCAAGCCAAGTCTCCGCATGCATAGATATTGAAGATAAGATGCTCTCCTCCCACGCCGGCAGGTACGATCGCAAGGATGAGCACGTGCTGGTCTTACCAGCTTTATGGCCTTGCTGAAGAAGAGAGTGGGCCGCCATGTTTGGTTTCTGAGTATGGTTTCGAGTGGGCGGGGTTAGGTTTGAGGTGTTTGGGGGGAAGGCCTTGAGGTTCGTGGGGCTTGCTGCTTTAGCTTGTGGCCTGGCTTGGGTGTCGGTGCCTGGCTTTGATTCACCTTTCCTAAATCCAATGCCTAAACCCTAAAACCCAAAACCCTAAATCTATTTGGGGTTCGGGTATTTGCCTCTTGCATTCTCTAATCCTAACCTTAAACCCTAACACCCAAAACCCTAAATGGATTTGGGGTTCAGGTATATTTGCCTCTTAGCATTCCCGAATACCCTAA